GTGAAGCCCATTACAGACTAGTTAGTTTTTACTCTAGTATTTTTCCCAGAAATTACAATTATGTTTTAGGTGCTTACAAACAGCCTACCAGCACAACAATCAACATGGATCTGGTACAAGTTGTGTGAAGCCAACCGTATTTCTTTCTATGATAGGGTAACAGGTCCTGTGGAGAAGGGAGAAGTGGTTGGTATCACATCTGACATAACCTTCATATAAATAAACGAGGAAAAAAACCCAGTCTTGGTATTTCATAAAAACTGAATGTATTTTAGTTCATCCAATTACCAATTAGTGATCTACAGTACCAGTCAACATTTTTATTCAGCAATCTACCCTGTCCAGCTGTTGAAGATATCAGATACATAAGCAAACATGCTTGAAGGGACTGCAGGGGATTTTGAAAGATAGGATTGAAGGTAAAAAATTATTTTTATAAATTATCCAAGTAGTGCATGATGACAGAATGGAAAACAATGACAAAGCAAACATATGACCCTTGGAAATACTACGGTAATTTGATACAAACTAGAAAACCTCCTACTAGGAGGCAGAAATTGTATTAAAATGGCTGTACTGGTATAAGAAATCCTGATCAATATCATACAGATGAAAAAAACCTAGGATCACATTGAGATGTCTAAACAGATGCACAACACACAACACAGGTTCAGTAACGCCTACTTAGGGCAGACAAAGCCTTGTCTGAAGAACTGCATTCATTTCTGAGCACCAAAAGAAAGAGGACATCTGAGCAGACAGTCCAAAGGAGAACAGTAAGGATTATCAGAGCCATAAAAAACACGTGCTGTGAGGAAAGGCCAACAGAAGTATATTCTGCCATCCAGACAAAAGGGTAACAGCTTTCAAATATGCAAGAGATTGCTGCAAAGACAATGGGGCTACAGTGATCTCTGTTTCTACTTGAACAAGACAAATATTACTGGTGTTAAGAAATACTGACTGTACAAGAGAAAAAATAACTAAGCACTGAAATCGGCTTCCTGAAGAGATGACATTACATCTTTTATTTCAGTTTGTTTGCTTTTTAATTGCCAGCCAGGAACTCCCTAACTAATTCTGCTTTAGCTGGAGCATGGTGAACACCTAAAAATTATTTCTACTGTAATCCTACTTCTATAAAAACAGTTAATTTGACATCGTGGTCAGGAACAGCAGGATGCTGCACCTGATGAACCAGGAGGCACCTTTCCAAGTTTAACTGAACAGGGCATTCTGGATTAAGAAATAATTAAATATTTTTATAATGCAGGTACGTACAATAATATTATATAAATAGCATAGAAGACAAATAATTATTTTACTGCAATAAGTAAATTTAATAAATTTCAGAATTCACCATGCTAAAAAAAACCCAAACCAAACCACAAAAAAATCTCCCCAAAAAACAACCCAAAATACTCACTTGCCCCAAGTCAAATTCTAGCTGTTCTAGAGCACTCTAGAGCATGGAAAGCTAGACTATGGAGTGTCTTTAAAACCCCTCCCGATTGAAGAAAAAAAATAAATAAAAAATCCTAACTCCACCTCTCCAGGAATCGTTTCAGTTCAAATACCCACACTCCAACAACTGCTCTGGTTCTCTTACTGGCAACATCATGACTGTGGCTGGCATCAAGTTTTTTTCATTTCCATTGCAGAATGTCTGTGCCTTACGCAATCTTCTAAGCATCAAAAATTGCGGGTTTGGCATCACAATTAAATGTAACATGATTTCAAAAGTCTGGGACCAGAAATAGAGTGTCTATCAATAATTTAGCAGTGCAATAGTTCTGGAAGGAAAGCTCCTGAACATTAGTGTGATGGTAACCAATACAAAAAAGAAACAGTTAAATAATCAAAGTAGTAAACATCAGGTGGAATGACCACACATTTTTCAACACTCAGTTTTGTATAGGTACCAAGTTTTTTGATGGGTTTCTTTTCTTTTCACCTAAACTGGTGCAATTACTTATCAGCAAGTATCTCATACAATGTAGCCACAGGCACATACACAGAAAAGATCCACCTGACCAGTGTTATCAGTTGTGTTGGATCACAATAAAATACTAAATTAATAAGAGAGTAACTTCAAGCTGCCATAAGGAGTAATTAATTTAAACTTGAACCTTGGAGAGATTTCAATAGTCTGACAGGAAACTACAGTGCAAACCCAATAAACTGCATTTCCTTCAAGCAACAGTTAAGTGTCAAGAAAGAAAGGAATTCTAAAGTTAAAAGAAAAAAAGCAGAATTTTTTCACTTTCCAAATATGATCAAGACTCAAATGTTATTTACACCCCAGCAGTATAACTTCACTCAAAGAATCAAGTTATAATGGGCTTAATAGAAGCCCTGGACTTCTGAAGCTGTAGTAGTTTAGTTACTTTCTAAAGACTGCACATTTTGTCACTCTCATCACATCAAGGTCTGTCACTTTCCTGACCAGTTTAAAAGATGCACACAGTTAAACCAATGTGGACCAAATAAAATACTTGATAAATGCAAAACAGCCTGCAATAACAAGTCCAATACCTGATTTCTTGGCTGTACTCTGAACTGCTCCAGCACCAGGACTCCCAGGAGAGCCAGTCTTTTTGCTCAAGAGACTGTTAAAGAAACTAGCCAAGACACCTTCACTTGCAGCATTATCTAAATAAAGAACAAATACATACATATGTATATGTATCACAGAATAATTATTGCTGATAAATGATAGAACTAAATTTTTAACACACATACGTAACTCTCTTACCAATCAAGGAAATAAACCTCAAATAAGAGAGTCTCTCCTTGCTCAAATTAAAGACACAAGTCGTTTGCATTCTGCGGCAAAGTCAGAGACGACTGAAAGCACAGTACTGCTCTTCTGGGATGGGAGGAGGTGTCACAAAATTTTAATTTAAATTCTTGCATGCTTTTCAAAGTATTAAGGATGGATGTGCAATTCAAAGATTTTTAAGGCCATTAACAAACTGCACAAACATTCCAGTGCAGTCTTTCATGCCACACTACTTGTCATAAATCAGAACTTGGACACAGAGCAATGAGAAATGATCCAGAACTGCATGAATATTTTATCCACTGTCAGTGAGGTATGGCACCACGGTGCATAATTAAAACAATACTGGCCCTACCAAACTTCTTAATGCACAGAGAGGAAATAAACCACTCCACAACGGGGAGCTCCATTTTAGGGCTGAGGGAGGGGAAAGGGTGCAATTTCCAAGTCACTTCATCTACTATAGAAAATGACATTCCAGAGAGGTTTAGTAGAAGAACAGGTCTCATTGTGGATTCCAGAATAAGTGATACAAACTGCATGTAGTTTAAAGCAGTCTTGTCTCTAATAATCCAACTGATGCAAAATAAATTTATTGAGGCAACTTAAGGAAATAATGTACTTGAACTCTGCCTGACTGCTTGGCAGTAACAGAACTCTTACTTCAAGTCGTATGACTGACTCAAAAAAAAAGAAAAAAAGAAAATCAAATCTAAATCTCTATCTGTATCATTAATTCATTCCTGTTATTACACTACTATACCGTTGGTGAACAAATCCCAAAATCTTTCTACAAAAGAGGACTGGGGGAGGGCAGAAATAACACATGATAAAACCAATGAAATGCTTATTCGTACTTTTAATATTTGGATCTGGTTTCTTAACTGATGTTATTGGTGAGGCACTGGGTACATTGGTGGGACCAGCTCTGCCTTGAGTTCTTGGGGATCCTGCAGGTCCCCTTGCAGGAGATTCCTTTAAAAAAAGTCCAAATGGCACAAATCAGAAAACTTCACTGGAATAGTTACATAAAGCAAATGTAACACTACATACAAATTACGTTTTAAACCTTTATATTGGCACTTTTGTGTATGAACACCAGAGAAAAAACAAACAAACACAAAAAAAACCAAACAAAACCCCACCAGTTATTTTGGGCATGAACCTCTGCTAAAAGAAAGGATGAATCACTGTAGGAAATTTTCAGTTCAGCAATCATCAGATATTTCTGTTTCCACAGTGAATTATAAAGAATTTGTGAACAACACTTCAAAATATTGCCACTTTTTTTTTTTACTATTATTTACTTTCTGCAGTTTGGGGTGGATTCTGTACTTTACATTCACATTTACAAAATGAACCTCTACAGGTTAGAATCATTCCCTCTTCCCTAGAAGGAAACAAAACACCTCCTACTCTTCTTTGGATCTACTTACTGATGCTCTTGTAGGCGTTGCTGGCTGTTTGGCAAGGAATGACTGCAAAAACAACATATTAAGAATATGAAATGTATTTCAGAAAATATAAAGGAATGAAACACAATGAAGCTGACTAACCATTATTTTTTTAATATATTTAAATATTTTCTCTTCAATATACAAAAACTTCCAGACTTTACCACTAGAGGGCAGAGTTAAAATGAGTAAATAAGCCTTTTGTCTTACACAGCCATCCCAGAACCATAGTCACCATATCTATAATCAAGTATACAGGAAAGTATTATTAGGTTTTTTTTTTAAACAACATTGCAGTAAATAAAATAACAAGATACAGCGTAGCCAAATTTGATACCTTAAAGTCTTTCAAGCTTTTGAATGTAAGAAAACTGCAATGCTAAGATGTTATGTTTTAGAAGTATTTGTATTTTACAGATCAATATATCTATGTTGTGAAATTTCAAATTATCTTCCTGCTCTTCTCCTTTGAAATATAAATTATTTCCGTTCTTAGCATATCTTCCTTTCAACTTGCAATGCAAGTGGCTCTATTTTCTGCTCGTATTTCTTAAAGTCTTATTTCACACTTACATCTGAATTTGCAAAGCTGAAAAGTGGCTATCTAGTGATTTAAATGAGGAATGAAAAACTGAAGGCAATAACAATGGAGATCTTAAAGTGAAATCTTACTTTAAAAGAGCTTCATTCTTCCATTCTTACCTGCTGCTTCATAAGAAATACTTGTTCATCTTCTGCTGCCAGCTCTTTATCATGGACTAGCTGTTGAACAAAGTATTTTGTTATTAGAAGTAAAAACTGAAATTACTGTAACTGTCTGTATGTTTTTGTGATCAAAAGGGAAGAGGCAAATCCTTAATACCATTCTTTATCTAAAAAACCAAAAACTTTTCACATTTAAAAGAGCAGTAACATTAAAGAAGTTACCATTAAAAAAAATACTGAAAGTGAATGGAGTAGACTAGCACTGATGCCAGGCTGTGGGTATTCTCGCAGAAAGATGAGTGCTGGTAAGCAGTCACATTCATCTTTTTAACTTTAGGTATTAATCTCATGAGCATTTCCTCAAAGACCTGAGATCCTCTTACTCCTTAAGACCCCAAACTCAATCCCTTGGCCCCCAGAAGCATTACACTATCTTTTATCAGTTATAACACTGCTATTAGGCAGTGATTACTTCCTAGAGGTGCTACGACTCACTAACATCAGGATTAAACCTTTCCCTTATATGAAAGCTTCAAACAGCTCTTCTCTTTTCCAAATACAGGGGCTTGAGCTAAAAATGTTAAGTGTGTAAGGAAGCTGTAAAAGAAGCTTTCCAATACAGGCCAGAATACAGCTTCATTTACAATTTTCCATACAGTTCATTTTTACACATATCCTATTCCTGTGTACCTACACTCACAAACTTAGCAATGTACAGAATTTACAGGGATTATTTACTGCTTCTGCCTTACACAAAGAAATCTGTCATAAATACATTAACATAATACTGATATACTGTCTTCTTTTACATCTGCTTTTACATGGTGTGTGTATGTAAACTGTTGAAGTCTTACAACAGTATTCTCCACTTTCAAAAGTGTTTTTGCCTCATGCATGCAAAAAGGTTCCTGTGAAACAGTTATTTTTGGACTACCTTTCATTCACCAAAGTGAATGATTTCTGTGTTTGTGTGCAGTATTTTTAACAACTGGAAAATGAAAGCCTGATGTTTCACACTTTTGTATTAGAAAAAAACCTTTACATTTGGAGTTCTTCACTATTAATAATTACTAGTAGTCATTCAAGCAAAATGCTTGAATTTGTCAGGGACAGGAAAGAGTTTACTCCTTTTTACCTTTCTTACTGGAGGTTTTACAATGAAGTCCTCATATGCATCTTCTGGTTTCACTGTTGTGAAGTTTTCATGTAAAATGGCAATTTTCTTTTCATTGTCCCAACCAGCAGGTCTATAAAAAGAAGCAGCTTTGTCTTTTCAGTCACAAAAAGCACTTCTACAGAGACCGTTTATTTACTGCTCTCTACCTGAATAAGGCAATTTTATTTTAGGTCAGTCCTAATTCCCAGCTGTACTCCAGAGATACTAAAAAGCTGGTATGGTACACCCCAAGTCAAGTAACCCAAGAAATATGCACTAGGTTGGTTTTTAATTCAGGATTTTAGAATCCTCACATACTAAGCTTGTGAACAACACAAACCGCTCAAAGTATTTATATACATCTGTGTTACATGAAGTGTAGTGTTTAATACTACGATCTGAAACCATGCTGCTTTACAGTTTACTTACATAAAAACGGCATCCTTTTCTACCACTAAGGCAGGTGTGGTAAACTGAAAACCGTATGTTTTATGTACAATGTACTTATACAACAGATCAAGGTTCTTTTCCTCCTTAACTGATGTATAAATCAAGGCAGCCCCATCTGATTACTTACTTAAGGAAAATTATGTAAAATACAGTTTTAAAATTAAAGTCAGAAATTCAGAACAGGAGCTAATGGACATACATCTACTAGGCCTGATTTTGAGAAGCAGTTAAAGGCAGAAGCTATAGCTATTCAGTATTCTGGGAGAGGAAGTGGGTATAACAGGAGAAGACTCGTGGTGCTTTTCTTTGACATCCACAAAGGCTACCTACCCTCCCAGGCACTTTGAATAAATCAAAAATGTAAGAGACAGCTGAGATCCCAGGTTTACTTGGAAATTGCAAGTTCTGAGGGAGAAACCAGGAAAAACCACCTCAAAAATGCAAGACAAATCCTTTGTATAGGAACAAAAGCTTCAAAACCCATGTACAATTTTAAAAAGTTGTATGTGTCTCTCAACATTTTCAAAACAACAAATGCTACATAGTAAATAACTAAATGCAGAGCAATCTTGAAGTGCAATTTCTCAGCTTAACTTTACATGCAATTCAACACTAAAACGTAGTTGCTTGCTCCCAGATTACAGCAAATCTCTTCAGAGCAGGAAAGGATACACTGTAAGCAAAATCTACGAATGTGTGACTGAATGAAGTCAAAGTGTTCTTCTCTGTAGTCATGCTCCTTCTCTAGTACACTCACTGCATCGCACTGGGAGAAGAAGAAAACCAGAAAAACGCGGTCATTTAATCCCAGCACATCCTAACATTTTCGTCAATATTCCACACACATCATACTTCCTTTGAGCCTTTACTTTTAAAATGTCACCAATAAAACAAAAGACAAAGTAATTATCATGTAATTGATAAGATTATCACCCTCCTGCAAAATTAAAAATTGACACTGATGGCAAAATCGTATCTTTAAAATAAATCTCTTTACTCTTAATCCAGAATTCATTTTGCATGTCTGTATAAAGCATGCCTTCTAAAAGAAAAGTAATTCAAACCTTTTCATACCAGCAAACAGAACTGGAAACTCACTTTTGTACAAACTACCAGCACAGGAATACCGAGGTTGTGAGTCAGCACATTTTCTCCAAGCGGTAAAGAGACGTGTTCATCCTCTTGGCCAGAAGAAGGGCCTCTTCTCTGCGGTGATCCTTGGTAGCCTTCTTCAGGTTCTACATACTCTTGAAACTCCTTTATAACTATTAAGGGAGAGATCTTACTAAGGCATAGCAAAGGAACTAGTTCTACTTTTTAAACCATAATTAATCTATGACTAACTAGAAATCTCAACTTATTTTTTCCCTTATATTAATGAGACACTACTTGAGAACAGAATGCAAACTTTAGCCTTGTTGCCCCTTCAAAAACAACAATTCACCCAACCAAAATTTACAGCAAGCTAAATCAAGGGCAATTTGGAGCTACTACAAATAACCAACACTAGCCACAAAAGCCATAGTGTGCACAAACTCACATTCCTCAACTCGATGCCTTTCATTACAGAGTTGACAACAGAAAACGTAAATGTAGTTTAGCAGCCTGGCCTATATTCATTGCAATTTGTACCTACTTTTGGACAAAACCATGGTGAATATGTAAATAAGAGCAGAAAACACCAAGCCGAAACAGACGCCCTTTCTTAGAAGTTATCACCTCATTTAAATTACCATTACTCCACATTTCTGTTGCAGGAGTCTAGTGCTAGAAATATACAAAAATACACTGCACAAACACAGACTCAAGGACTTATAAATGTTATCTGAAGAGGCTGCTATAGTCTAGAAAACTACAATGGAGTCCAGAGAAAACGAGATGCTTTCTACATTTTCAATGTTTTAATTTTATGGCAACAATACTATTCAACTACTGAAGTGCCTAAGAAATACCATCAGCACGATTTTGGAAGGGCACTGTGACCTCACATGTTATTTTATGCTGCAACTTACACCTTGTATGTCTTTTTTCAGGACGAAAGCCACAGACCAGATAAATCTGCCTGTTGGATGTGCCTGCTCCCAGGCACTGCCCTTTCCCAAGGCCCAGGGCTCCCCGCACACCCCAATTCTACCTGAAGCCTCCTCCTCGCTCAGGAAGAGCCCTCAGGGAAGGAGCAAGCAAAGTTCCATGATTTGCTCCCAGGAAGGCATCTTTATTCTAGAAAAAAATGGGAGCAGGCTGACTGTACGTACAGTAAGGAAAACTTTGAAAAAGTGCCCAACCTACAGCACATTCACAAAGAAAATGTTGTTCGGTACGTCCATCCACGTGACAGGGAAGGAACTGCAACTGCACTGCAGGCCATCTGATACTTCTGAGCTTTAGGAAGCGCTAAAACCTCAGAAGTTTCTAATACAAATCTTGCAAAATGAAGTCACTGCACCTGCTCAAAATAGGAACCATTCCTGCAGTAGAATGGGCACGTGGAAGGAAGAACCAGAAAAACACTTCTGTTCAAAGCTGCACAATATACAATTTTTATCAGAAATATAAAATGGAGTGATTCTTGTGGAAAACTAGCTCTATTCCAGAGAAAAGTTTAAAAAAACCAACCCCACATCAAATATAGACCATAACTCTTCCAACAACCAATTCAATATATCCCAAGGTCCAATGAAAGAGAAAAAACTCGAATGCAGTTGCTTTTAAACTTGAGGAGGCAGTGCCTTCTGGTGGAGAGGAAACAACAACGCTTTCACAGGGATGCTCTCCTCTAGTTCATATTCAGCAACTGGAAAGCAAACTTCTGTAATACACTCTGCACAGTAAATATGTTTACTGACTACTCACAGAAAGCAAACTCATCCAGAGCATTTAACTAGAAAATTATTTTTAGAAAGTACTTATTTCATGACTCAGACTCTTCCTAGCTCAGGACAAAAGAAAAGCCCTACTGAAGACAAGTGTATCACAGCAGTTAAGAGCTAAGCCTCTCTGACTGTATCAGATGTAAAAGAATATTTGACAATACTGCTCTCAATTTACTACAGAAATTTACTACAGCATTACAATCAGACAATATTAGCGTCCTAGGTTTTGTTCACATCAAAGCAGAAGAATATTTTCTTTACTAAGATATCTGTTAGTACAAACCCACTCAAATTTGGGAAAGAAAAGTCTCTCTTGAAAACAGTAAGGCTCAGACAACACGATACAAATCATTATTCAAGATAACCCAAGCATTTTACTGATACAAATAATAGCAAACACAACACAGGAACTCCAGAAATCTGATGGCACGCCCCCATGAATTTCTGCTGAATGAGAACGAAGACCACAATATCATAGAGAGCTGAGATTCCCAACTTTCTGGTCTCCCCCAGAGCAAGCAGTGCCAAACACCACGCACCACAGAGCAGCGGCCAACAAAGCTGCATCTCACTCTGATCCGTGCAGGGAGAAAAACCTCCACCGTGGAGATGAACCGTTGTTGTGGATTGTTAATAACGCACATGGTCTGGCATTAACCCCCAATTAAAGACCAAGAAATGCTTCAGAACACCCTCAGCCTTAGTGAACAAGGGCATCTGCTGGACAACTAACTGCTAGAGTTGAAAGAAGGTAAACACTATGCTGAGAACCTCTAACTACTGCCTCCTGAATGCACACACTTGTTTCCGATTTACAGTGGTTCAAATACCTGTAAGTGACAGGCTCTGAAACACCTTTTAAAGACTAATTCAATCCCCATTCCAATCAAAATTTAGTTCTGGTAAATCCAAGTACACCTGTATCACAAGTGCTGTCAGACTTCTTACGGACAAGCTCCATTCTAAGCAGCTAATGAAGAAGCTCACTTAAATTAAAGTGTTTTCTTTGTCACACAGCAATTTAATACTGTTTCCTTACCTGCCACACCTATTTCTCACTCGATCTCCCCACTCAAACTTTTAATGGACATAAAAGTTCATCATGCACTCACACAGCTTGCATAAATCTTTCCTTTTTTTATGCAAGGTATGAATATTTTCTCCACATAATTTCTATTAAGGAAACACATGCTAAATGGTATGGGAAATAACTCTTTTTCTTTATTAAGGAAAATACGAATATTATTTTGGTTTAATTTTTTTTAATCAGGAAATGCAGTTAAGATGATGCACATAAAATAAGAAGCCAGAAAAGACAATGAAAAAGGTTTCTATAAATAAATTAGCAACAAAAGGA